AAATTACTTTCTAAATAATAGTTATTAAATTTGTTATTTTTGAAGTAATTCAGATATTATTCATCAAAACGATTTTTAATTAGAAATCTACATTTAGTAGCCAATTGAATTTTCAATGAATTGGACTTTTTATTTCTTTTCATTTAAATTTGAAATAAAATTTAAATGTAATTATTTACCTTAAAGTTAATAAAAAAATTCTAAACTATTCATAAAGCGAACAAAAGAACACCTCGTTTGATTCTGATTTCATTATTCATGTCTCATTATTGTTGTCGTCACCAGAGATTAGTGAAAACTTGAAACGTAAAAATAATTTCATTTTAAGCTTAATCCCCGCCCCCACCCCCCCTTTTATTTGCTTTGTTCGTTCAATTCATATTAAATTAAACTAAAATATTAAAGCTAAATATTATGCAATTTGTTTTTTAAAATTTTGAAACATTTATTCATAAAAAAAAGTAATATTAATTGTAACACCCCAGAAAAAAATTTCGAACTAGGACTCGAACCGTTCTTCGTAGTGAGTGAGATTTTACCAAGGAATTTAAAATTTCTTATGTGTAATGTCACTAGATGTAGCACCTTGAGTTCCAAAAAGAACTAAATTGGAAATAGCAAAATCTGAAATTTTGCAAGTTATGATTAATTTATGGATTTTGGGTCAACTTAAAACGACCATACCTCTCAGTACAGGATGAGTTAGGCGGGCTACAAGATAGCTAATGAAAGGTCTTTGAATTATCCTACCACCGCCACCTAGTTTGCTAAATTTCGAGCTCTGAGTAAAAAGTTATGACTGATTTACTAACGACTCCCAAACCTGGCAGCAGCTCCGCGATGGCTCCGCGTTACGGAGTCAATACGGACCTCACTGCCTACTGAAAAATTATTTCGACTCCCATCTCGTTTTATTTATTACTTTAGGGGTAGTTTAGTCCTAAAAACCCTTAGGAGATCATCTAAATTGTCCTAAACGTGTAGAAAAACCAGTTGTCATAAATCAAACCCTCTCATCCACTCCAAAAATTCTACGCTCAAGGAATTCAAGAACGTTAAGGCCAGGGTTCTTCTTCCAAGTATTTTCCTTCAAGTTCTTCAGGAAGATGATTCTTTCAGGTATGTAAGCTTCCATAGTGTTGGGTTTGTTCACCCCACGCCAATCATGTTAATTTCAACGTTAAATTCGTTCTAGAAAGTTGAAGGTTTGATGTTCTTGATATGTGTTCTTGAATTTGCTTTCGTTCTTGAATTGGGCTGAGATTGAGGAGTTCTTGAGATTATTGCGTCAATTTATAGAGTTGTTTTGAGTTAGATTCTAGTGTACATGTGCTGGGTATCTGTTGCGGCAAAATCGCACACGCATATTCTTGTTTTCAGAATAACTATCCTACTTTTACCATTTCAAAATAATTTTTGTTCCAAAGTTTTGGTAACATAATTTTTCTGCGCTTTTTATTTTATTTTTTGAGATAATTACACGTTAGTGTAGCATATAAACTTATATTAAATAGTTTAGTTAAAATAAAATTGGTGTTCACCTATTGTTATTGAAGCTCGAAGATTCAGAATTTGAAAAATTAGATTTTCGCAAATAAGCTTTGTTTCAAGTTGATATTGTTATAAATGATCGATTGCGTACTGAAGACTCTAAATCTGAATTTTCGAGTGATTTGACGTAGTTTATGAGATGTTTTTGGATGAATCTGGTGTTCAGATTTAAGGAAGAAATTGGAATTGGTTTTTGGTATAATAGTGTTTACACGTTACGTGAATTTTAGATTTGTTTAGTAGGAATAATTTTACAAACTCATATAGATATTAGGGATAAGGGTCTGAAATATATCTGAACTTTGATCGAAATTGTTATTACGATACCAAACTTTGGAAATGACCTTAATTTTACCCCCTGTACTATTTAATAGTGTATTTTAAAGACATATAGTGCCCACGTGGACATAAAAAATAAGCATAATTATAAATAGTAATGTGTCCACGTGGGCACATATATACCTTTAAAATACACTATTAAATAGTTCAGGGGGTAAAAAATACGGTATTAAGGTAATAGGTCCTCATTAAAGTTTGGTATCGTTACAGCAATTTCGGCCAAAGTTGGGGTATTTTTCAGACCATTATCCCGTGAATATAAAATATTTTTCAAAAGTTCCTTTTTAGTGTTTGATTGGTAAATGAAAAATAATTTCAAGAAAATATCTTTCATTTTACGCTAGAGAATTGAAAATACTTTTAAAAATAATAATTTCTGACCTGTAAACCAATTCCAATAATCGATCTGAGATTTGAACCCGACACCCGAACAGGGACACGAACCCGATGAGAAATTCAAGATTCGACCCCAACATCCGACCCAGAAAATGATCCCGACTCTCGACTCAAGATTCAATGTCTACCCCGACACCTATACCAGGACACGACTCTGACGAACAAGCCAACGTATGGAATTACATTAGCTAGGAATGTTGTTGTTCTTGTTGTAAAGTACTCCCTTTGCCATAATTTATGTGGTTCGGATGGAATTTCAAGATTCAAACTTTTAAACTTTGACGTTGAATTCAAACATTAAATTTTTAAATTTTTGAAATAAAATTTATATATTTAAAAACTACATTTAAATAATAATAATAATAACAATATAAGGGGTTGCTTGGTACAAAGATTAATGAGTAGGGATTAGTAATGAAGGACTTATTTTTATCAAGTGTTTGATTCATTGCTACCACTTCATCTTGTATTTCGATTAAAACTCTACAAAAAGCTTCTTTTCAATTTTATAAATTGTTCAAAATATAAATAATTAGACAATCACATATATATCAACAAATAATACATCCAATTAAGATCACAAACATTGTGGCGATATATTTACCTTTTCAATTAGTAAATGTTATACAACTCACATTTTGAATATTATATTGATTTGTATTGGATTTATTTAGCAACAAACAATTCTCTCTAAATAATAAAATTTGTAAGCTAATTTATTTAAATAAATTTACTAGTACAAATACAAAACATAAAATCAAGTAAATAAACAAAATTGTTAAAATAATTAAGGATATTTTTGTCTTTACATAGATTAATTTCATTGTATTAAACCCTATGTATATCTAATACCACCAAATTGAAGATATTAGCAATACGTCCTATAATATCGAACGACCCTGTAGACCCAAATTCCTATCAAACACAATATTAAATAATACTATATATGATACATGAACTATTTCTCCTAATCAATTCGGTCAAATGGTTAGACCAAAAAGCCCTCTCCCGTATATTCCGTTAGCATATACGCACTTTGTATGAGAAAGAAATATAATACTCCCTCTATTCCTATTTACTTGTCTACTTTTTCTTTTATAGTTGTCCCTAATTACTTGTCAATTTTGACAAATCAAGAAATGACAATAAATAAATAAATTATTATACCCTCAATTAATTACTTTAAAAAAAGTAGAACCTTTTGAAAAAATTAAATTTTTAATTCATCCACTTCATAATTAATAGGTGTAAAATGGTAAACTCACTATGTCAATAATTATTTTCTAATAGATGTGTCAATTCAAAAGTGGACAAGTAATTAGGGACAGAAATGACAATAAATAAATAAATTATTATACCCTCAATTAATTACTTTAAAAAAAGTAGAACCTTTTGAAAAAATTAAATTTTTAATTCATCCACTTCATAATTAATAGGTGTAAAATGGTAAACTCACTATGTCAATAATTATTTTCTAATAGATGTGTCAATTCAAAAGTGGACAAGTAATTAAAGACGGATAGAATATAAACATAGTGATTGTCTAACGAGACACTATGTAATTCCTCCTCTACCCCAAGGTCATTTTCGCCATTTACTCACTCAAATCCAAAATAATCAAACACCTTATGTACAAATCAAAGTTTGACTGAAAAGTACACAAAAAACAATGTAAAAATTGACGGATGACTTTGACCAGCCGATTTGAAATTTTTTTATATATAGAACTCAATGAATTAAATATTATTTTAATCTAATTTTATTTTTTTTAAATATTGTTACTTATTGTGATTTATATAACTTTCGTCACAATTTGAGTCCAATAAATAAATTGAAACAAAAATTGTATTGAGTGTATATTCTCAAAATAAAATCTGAAGAAGATAAAATATTTGTAAATCTTACTTCTATTCACGGTAAGAATTGAGATAAAAAGATAATTTTCAATAGACAAAATATTCTTGTGTTCAAATTTATACGTTCTTTTTTATCTCTTCGGTATGTAAACTTCATGTCATTTGAGTCAAGCTTGTTGCATAAAATTCGTTAATGCACTTTACATTTTTTGTGCGATTCGTAGGCTATATTACACACTGGAAGATTCTCAATATGCATAAAATGCTCACCCGAATGACAAGTTATTACAGAGACTATAGCGACTACTAGGGTTAGGTATCAGTTGGCTCATTTAGGTTTTAAAGCTTATCGGTTCGACTTATCGGTTATCGATTTATAGACATGCTAAACCGTTATAATACCATTAAGATATTAACTTATCGGTTTATCGATTATTGATTGTTATTGGTTTAACCGTTAAGATTTGATATATTTTTTTTAATTGAAAATAACCTAGAAACAAGGTGACAAATCAAATGAACTCATACACTTAAGTTGATAGACGATAACAAGATAATTAAAAAAAAATCTAAACCTTCATTGAAATTGCTTAACCAATAATCCATTATCGACAAACTAATAAAAAAATTTCGACTCGTATTATTAATTTCAATTCGATTTTGAACAACCTTAGAAGCTACGGATTATCTTGAGGTTCCAAAAATTACACACTTTATTTTTCAAAGTAGAATTTGTATATTTTATTTAAAATTAAAATTAAATTTTTTTAAAAGTTTGAATCTCGGAATTTAAATCGAAACGTAAATGGCTATGTAGGAGTATACTCTGTTTTTGTCAGATCAATTTCATTTTCAATTTTTCTTCTCCTTTGTCTCTTTTTTGTTGAACGCAGAAAGGAGAGAATATATATATTTGTTATTTCTTCTCCTTCTGTATATCAATTTATTGTTTGTTGTTCTTCGTCTTCTCTCTTTTTTTCAGAAACTTTTCGTTTCTGATTAAGAAGAGAGAGAGGAGAAGCAACAATTTTTAGGGTTTGAATAAATTGGAAGAAAAGGAAAGGAAAGAGATGAATGTGATGCGTCGCCTCAAGAGCATTGCTTCTGGACGATCTTCCGTTTCCGATCCTGTAATTTTCTCTCTGTGTTTTTCATCTCATATGCGAATTTATGGAATTTTTTGTTGTTTTTTTCTGTCTAAATATGATTTGTTTGCTTCGTTTTTTGTTGATTTGATTTGTGTAGCATGTTTTTTTCAACTTTTTATTTTATTTTAGGGCTTTTTGACTGGAGATGTTGCCTTGAATTGTTCTATATTATGCTTATTTGTACTTGATTAGCTTGTTAATGTGACCGACTAATACAGAGTTTGGTAAATCTAAAGGAAGTTGGTGTAATTTTATCATATTAGCTCTGCAATATGATTATTGTTATTTCTTTGTGAGATTAGGTTTTTTTTGGAAGTCTGCTCAAAATTATGTTTAAATGAATCATGAAATTGTTATTGTTTCTCCTGATGTGATTTAAGTGCATTGTCGTCAAACAACAATATATCCCATATAATCTCACTTTTTTTACTAATTTAATAGGGAGGGGATATTAGCCTAAAGAGACTGAAGATTGAGCAAAAAGTAGATCACAGGGTTGATATTGAAATTCAAATGGAAGAGCGATGTACTATAGCGCCAAAGGATGATGTGACTTCTACATCTGAGGGAAGTGATGCAAGTACATTGACTGTCGATACTAGGCAAGAAAAATCTGGAAAGAAGGAGCTTCCAAATGAAATGAGAATTAGAGAGAAAAACTCTTATGACCACGAGGATGACTTAAAGGTAACTTCTTATTTATATAGCACATCATGTTGCTTTATTGTTTATGGAGAATCCTTTTATGATATGATAAAATGCTATAGGATATGGAGCCTACTGTTGTTAGTGGTAATGGAACAGAAACAGGCCAGATAATTGTGACTACTCTGAGTGGTCGAAATGGACAGAAACAGGTAAGTTTCATCTTCAGAATTGAACAGACTTAGATGTGATGTGGCTTATGATTTCTTATGTATTTGGGTCTTATTCAATTAATAAATTTCATGTTATTGTCCCAGACACTGTCTTACATGGCTGAACGTGTGGTGGGTACGGGTTCATTTGGAGTTGTATTTCAGGTAAAATTGTGTTTGATTGGGTCAGTAGGAAGGATTAGGTGTTTATTTGAAAGCATTGAAGTCGTTTGGGCGGCTCTGCTTGACGTTTGCTCATTTCTTCTCTGTTTTTTTTCTCCCTAGGCTAAGTGCCTAGAAACAGGAGAATCTGTGGCCATAAAGAAGGTCTTGCAGGATAGGAGATACAAGAACAGGGAACTACAGATTATGCGCATGCTTGATCATCCTAATGCTGTTCACCTGAGACACTGTTTCTATTCTACAACTGAGAAGAATGAAGTTTACCTTAACCTTGTTCTGGAGTATGTGTCTGAAACTGTGTACCGAGTTTCAAGGCACTACAGCCGAGTGAACCATCACATGCCCATCATATATGTTCAATTGTACACATACCAGGTAAGCGTTTGGGTGATATTTTACTTTTATATGTAGGAACTATGTGTAAATAAGATAATTTCGACACTTTTACAATATGTCATCTTGACTCTATTATGAATTATCTTGATTCTTCAGAAGTTATAACTTGATTTCTTTCTCATAATTATCATTACGCAGATATGTCGGGCTCTGAATTACATGCACAATGTAATTGGGGTATGTCACCGTGATATTAAACCTCAGAATCTTTTGGTAAGCTTGCTGGTTATGCTCCTTTCCTTCTACATGTTTGTAGCTCTTCTATTTCCTTGGTTATTTGAGACAATTGTTTTCCTTCTTCCTTCATTGTGATTGCTTCTGTTCTAACTATTTGTGGTATTATTGTTTTAATTATTGCTATAGGTTAATCCACACACTCATCAGTTAAAGATATGTGATTTTGGAAGTGCAAAGATGCTGGTATGTGGTGTTCTTTTGAGAACTACGTTTTCCTTGGTGTTTGCATCTACTCAGACTTTTGTCTTCTTGGCATAGGTGCCTGGGGAGCCCAATATAGCCTACATTTGTTCTAGGTATTATAGAGCGCCTGAATTGATCTTTGGGGCTACAGAGTACACAACTGCAATTGATATGTGGTCAGCTGGTTGCGTTTTCGCTGAGCTACTTTTGGGACAGGTGAGTCGACTTTGTGGTTCCTATCTTCTCACTCTTTCTGATATTAGCTGTAGAAAGTTGGTAATTTTTTCTTACAATTGCACATAGATTTGGTTTCTATGGTGCCTCTCTTTTGCTAAGGTAGATATGTAAGTGCTTGCACCTAAATGTTTCCGTACTTGTAGTTGATTCTCTTTTTTGGTGGATCATGATATTATTATGGTATTTTTTTTTGTTGATATACTACTTCTCTATAAAAGTTTTAGAAAATCTTTTTTTCTGAGAATCATATTTCGAGTTACTGTGGTATAAACTAGTCTGATGCATTGAATGTTGCATTATGTATAGCCTCTTTTCCCTGGAGAAAGTGGTGTTGATCAGCTGGTGGAGATAATCAAGGTATGCTATTATGGGACATCAGTTTTCATCCCCCATTTTTAAAGCAGTGCCAGGTGAGTTCATTACATTGCTTATGATATTGATGTACTTAATCCATGCTAGATTTTGGGGTCACCAACTAGAGAGGAAATTAGGTGCATGAATCCAAACTATACAGAGTTCAAGTTTCCTCAAATCAAAGCTCACCCGTGGCACAAGGTTTGTTACAAATTATCAAGTATAGTGTTTATTTATATCTTAGTTTCTTTTGTTTGTTCTCCTCGCTGAAGTTCTTTGACCCACTGTCCCTTCCAAGTGCACTCACTCATAGGCTGAGGTGCTGAAGATTAAATCTGAATATTTTGCAGATATTTCAAAGAAAAATACCCCCTGAAGCAGTAGATCTGGCCTCAAGGTTGCTGCAGTATTCACCAACTCTCCGATGTACTGCTGTAAGTGCATGACGCCTTTTCCTGCTGTTAGTATAAAGCTTGAAAGTAGTTAATGAGAAAACACACACGAACTACTTGTGGACAATCAATAAGTTTATGAAGCCTACTGAGAGGGTGACCATATTTCACCAGTAGTATGTTAGAAACATGCTTGTAGACTCCTTTTGGGGATTTGATATGATGAGGCATTTTGAATGAGTCATAATTTTTATATTCATTTTCAGTTGGAGGCATGTGCACACCCTTTCTTTGATGATCTGAGGAAACCAAATGCTTGCTTGCCTAATGGACGACCTTTGCCACCTCTATTCAACTTCACACCTCAAGGTTGAGCTGAATTCCTTTTTTTTTTTCCTTCCTAACTTTATCGTTATAATTATTTCGCCCCGTCTGACTGTAGTAATCCTCATGCAGAACTTTCTGGTGCACGTACTGAACTGAGACAACGCCTTATTCCTGAGCACACGAGGAAGTGAATGGCGCAAATGAATTTTTTGAGAGGGGTCTATTTTCCATGTGATCAGCAGTGTTCTACAGCATCAAATGCAGCTATGTTCTAGGCCAGCCAAGGATGGTGACATGCAATGCAGAAAGAGTCATGTGCTAATATGATCAGTGTTAGAGTTCACTATGAAATTCTTTTGTTTATTAAGTTGATGTGTTAGTGTAGAATGCCCTAGGCAGTTCTAGATGAGTTCACATCTATCAATTTTTTTGTTTACAACAAACATCTAGTTTGTGGGCATTCAGAAGATCAGTAGGTTCTTCCAAACAGGATTACTAGTTGAAATAGGTTTATTTTTGTGTATATCAATTTGATTTGATTTCTTCCACTTGCCTTAAATAGGAATGTGAAATTCATTACTTTATGTATTCTCTAATGTCCCTTTGGAACTATATTTAAATAATCTCAGTTATTCTCTGTCTCTCTACATCTCAATATTGTATTTTCCATTTTGTGTTTGGACAAAAAAGGGGGTGTCACTAACAAGTTGTGGTGACAAAACTAGCTCATGAAAATAGGATTGGCCCAATCCTTAATTCATAAGAAATTCGGTTGATATGTAATTTAAATTGCTTTAACAGAAAATTTATTAAAATATCATTTTATTTTGTTCTGATAAAGGAAAAATAATTTTATTTTGTAAATGGAAAATTGTAAAAGAACAGATAGAAATTAAAACACAAAACTTAATGAAAATTGGACGGATTAGCGTAATACTAACTAAAAGTACAGTTAGTAGTATAGAAGTATAAACAAAACAATGTTTAAAAAACGTGGGACTTTTTACATAATAAAGGGGGAGAGCGCCAGGAGAACTTCGAGACACCATCAGTTTGGGGCGCGAGGTCAGCATCTTGTTGCAGAGGAGATAAGAAGAGGCTCAGCAAAATGGATCTGGTAACTGAGGTCATGTCCTTGGTAAACTAAAACAACATCATGCCTTATCTAATCAAATTTCTTCAATACTTCTTTGGCTTACTTTTACATCTGTTGAAACTATCCATAGTCAACCTCTCATATCTCCGCATTGGGGTGTTTGTGCAATTACTCTACACATGTCCAGATCATCTCAATCTTATTTCTCGCATCTTATCTCTATCGAGGTCACTCCTACCCTATCTCGAATATCTTCATTTCTAATCTTATCTCTCTTAATATGCCCGCACATCTATCTTCATCTTCGCAACTTTCATCTTCTTGAAATGAGGTTTCTTGATTGGCCAACACTCCGCTTCATACAACATAGTTGGTCTTACCATCGCTTTGTATACCTTGCCTTTAAGCTTTGGTGACACATTTTACCACACATGACTATAGATGTGAGCCTCAGTTTCATCCACCTTGCATCTATACGATGTGTGACATCACCGTCAATCTCTCAATTTCATTGGATAATAAACCCAAACATACTTAAAACTCTCTTTACTAATAACTTGTGTACCAAAACCCCACTTCTATATCAACCTCATACATTACATCATTGAACTTAAAAAATAATAAGAACATTTTTTTTCACAATGATAATTTAAGAATTTAGCTCAAGTGTATAGATATAATTATGGAATATTTCATATTTTTGGCAAAAAACTTATAACATATTTATATATGTAAAATAGAAATTTAAGAAAAGAAATAATTATTTATTACTACAAAGAAAAGAAACAGAAGCGTGTTATTTGGCGGGTTTCACTTAGCGCAGCTACAAAATAGAATAGGTGTCTGTACTCTCAAGCGCGTGTGCACCAGAAATGCGTCATTTCACTTTCCTAACCCAAATTCAATATCACCATTTTGTCTGAAAATCAACCCTACCTGAAACAAACTTCTATTTCCCGTCGTTTTCTTCACACTAATTTTCCGGCGATGTCTACGGCAACAGCCGCCAATGATAACATACCTAACACCGACGTTAGCCCAAGTGACGGTGTCGGAATTGACACGACGCCGTTTCTCACTAGCCAGAATTCCAGGAACCGACGTTCGTTCCGTCGCCCTCCGAGCCTCAGAGGAGCTGCTGGATTTCTACGGCGTGCAAGTAGCCGCCGATTGATGCGTGAGCCGTCGATGCGAGTAAGAGAAGCCGCTGCTGAGCAAATCGAGGAGCGGCAAAGTGATTGGGCTTACTCAAAACCTATAGTGATAATAGATCTTTTATGGAACTTAGCTTTTGTTATTGTATCGATTTCTGTGCTTGTACTGAGCCGAAATGAGTCTCCTTCTATGCCGTTAAGGCTTTGGATTGTTGGATATGCTTTACAGAGTGTGCTTCATATGGTTTGTGTTTTCGTTGAGTATAGACGCCGACGGTTAAGGGAGTCCTCTGAAAATTTGAGTAGTTCTGAGCAGAGAAGCGGGAGTGCTAGTTGGAATACCGGAGTTGGGAACTTGAGTTCGGAGAGTGACGGAGGGGAGTCTGGTGATTATTCGCAGGAGAGGAATCAAAACGAGGATGAAACTAGGTATTTTATGATCCCATTCATTTAAACTATTCAAATAACTATTGTTGCATTATAAAGCAAGTTAACATTTTAAACTGCATATATACCTGTTTAAACACTGTCACATGAGATGGAATGAGAATATTATCATTGTTGGTAATTCTCGCTTTTGTGGATGCTTGGTGAACAAGAAATTGCTTGACGTTGTTTCTAGTGTTGTGTAAGTTGGCTTAGGGTTACTAATTGAACTCTGAAGCTAGTTTCTGTAGAATGGCTGAAAGAGTGGTAGCCCTAAAAATACTTATAACCAGGGGTGGAGCTACAGTGTAACATGGGATTCGGGCGAACCCAGTAGCTTTTGCATCGACCCTATATTTGTACTAGAAACTCAAGAAACAAATACTCGTATAGTTTTTAACTAAGTTGCTCGGACTTGGGTGCGGTTGTACGATACGGATGCAGATCTAGAGGTCGGATCCTCTATGACCTAAATTTTAAGATTCGGGGATACGGATCCATGTGTGGATACGGGTGTGCGGGGATTCATCTAAAAATAGAGTTATATAACCTAAATTATGAGATATTATTTGGAAAACTCGAGGAGAAAATAATGATCAAGAGGAGAATCTTGGAAGGAGATAAAAGGAAAGGGAGTGGCAATAGAAATTTATATATACAAAGTATTCCCTTATCTTCAATTTTACTTTAGAATCTGTTTTGATTACAGAAATCATTCCAAAATTTCTCCCTCGAATTTGGTCAAAGTATCCAAAATCGGCTGACCATATCGGGTACGGATCCCACACCCACATTGCATCGACATGGGTGCGGCACCGAAAGAGAAGAATCCGAGCAACTTAGGTTTTTAACATGTGAAACAACATACAAAAACAAGTATATAGTTCAGTGGTGTATTGGCGGACTGCAAAGCTTTTGTTTCCCCTAGGAGATATGTGGGTTCTAAACTTGGTACCTGTGCCTCATTTGTAGTTGTTTTCTTGCTATATATATGCTCTCTTTCTAAAAGAGAATATTCAGTACTCTCTCCTAGTTTCTCGTAGGTCTTTTTTTCTTTCTATGTGCAGTTTTTTGAAGAAAAAAAACAACATAAAATTGATAATTAACCAAAAAAGCAAATTGTTGTATTGCGATGCGGGTGCCAATGGTTATTTATTGTTTTTAAGATATGACCACTGTTGAGTGCAATTAAAATGATAGTACTTACATTTATATAGTGTTTAAGTGGTTTGTCATATTTAGTTTGTCGTTTTTCAAAATATATTAAATATTAGTATTTGTTTTCTAGTTTGTGATTGTTATACATTAGATTGAGGTCATTGTCCTGTCTTAAAATTCAGAACCCATAAACCTAAAATTCTGGTTCGGCCTCTGCCTATAACTAAGGAATCGGAAGTTGGATGTGTACAATCTGGTTTTGGAAGGGCTTGGAATCTTTTGGGACAGCCATTTAGAGGCCACCGCGGAACTACTATAGGAAAGCCCGCCCCGGCTAGCTAACGTAGAAAGATATTTCCAGATAGCAGCTGTCTCTGTGTGAATCTTACTTCCCCTATGCAAAATAGAAGTTTGTCCAGCTGTCTTCTAGCTTGGACCAACCAGGATAATTCCTTACATAAAAGAAGGAAGTTTCAGGACTCTGACCACGTCATCATAAGAAAATACTGAAAAATCTTTCCAAGCTCAGAGAATTTGGGAAGGTGCGCTACAGCTAACATAACAGCCAGCTGAAAAACTGTGTATTCAGATAAAGGCATCAATTGGTTTACTCTGCACTGTCTTTTGTCAAGATAGGATGCTGAGGTTATCATTTTACTAGAAATTAGGATAGCAAGAGTAGTGCAGAAAAATGACATCTGGATTGTGGTTTTCTGATGACTGCAGATGTCTTTCTTAGATAGCTTGCTTGTTTCTTGTATGAATGTTGCTTTATCATAGGTAATCACTGCATAAATCTGCTGCGTCAATATTGGCCTATTTGGTTGGAGAGGCACTAGAGGCTCCATTTTGAGAAACAATCTTACAGGAACCTTTCCTATTGGAATTGTGAGGGAGGGGAAGCTTTACTTCTAGAGACTTGATAATGGGAGGCATGTTACCTAAACAGGAAAGTATAGGTTCTGATCAATATCTCAGATTATAGATTATGCATAAGAGTTGATTTGGCTAATCAACTATATAGTGATATTAAATTAGCTAAGGCTATGTATTTTGGTGTGCTCAAATGAATTTAGTGCTAGTTTCTTTTCTTAATTTTGCATTGCTAAAGTGTGTGATCATATCATCTTAAAGCTTAAGGTGTTAAAGAGAGCACATTTTTATTCTTTTAACTATGTATTCAACACACCCTTCACATGTAAGCCTGGTTGTTTTTCATGGTCAAGCATGTGGAAATTCTTTTTAAATAAGGAGTGGCGGTGAGACTCAAACTGAGGATCTCTGCCTGCTATGTTTGATACCATGTTAAAGTGTGTGCTCATCTAAAAGATTAACCTGTTATTAAAAAACACAGTTTTATTTGTTTAATTATGTCTTGAACATACATAAACCCATTTGGTGCTACGCAACAATCCTTATCACTATACTGTAACTCAAAAGTAAACTTACTTCAAAACTTCTCGGGTGCTGAAATGGACACCCGTGTCACTGATGGTCTAGTTTTACTGGCCTATTTGAGAAATATTGTCCAGTAGGCTGCTGAACTTGGATAGTTGAACATGAATCTCAAAGTTATTCAAATTGATACCAAAACAACAACATACCCAGTGCAATCCCACAAGTGGGGATATTCAAACTGATGCCAACTGTGAAAAATGAAGGTTGTTCCCGATGCATGACTAAATGGTTGAAACGTAGTTTTTTTTTTAAAAAAAATGTTTCGAGAAGAATAAAACTGCATATTTGTGCCTAATAATGTACCACTGATTCTTGTTTTATTGTTTCAGTGTTGCCAAGCATCTGGAGT